TTTCATCATTCAAAGTCAGACATCTCACTAGCATCTTTCACATCCATGCAATCATCCTCTGCCAGACTAAATCTTGTGCTTTGTTCCTTTCAGAAATCGATTATGTAAGTGTATTGAATAGAAATCTTCCAAGAGATATACGTGTAATAGGTTGGTGTCCTGTTGCAGCAGACTTTCTTGCAAGGTTAGCTTGAATTCTATGTTTAGTACTTTTTTGGTTGCTGAGTGTAAGAGGCGTTCTTACGCAAATGGCTTCGACAAAAGATTAGATGTTTCTTCCTTGCTTCTTCCCTCTTTTCTTATCTCCCTTTTTGATCATGCTATTCATTACCTAGTTGTACCCTGTTCCTGAGTAATTGGAATTTCATTTCTTGGCCCACTTTTTTTTTGCAGATTCTCCTGCTTGGGTAGGGAATATAAATACCTGTTTTGGAAGCGGGGCTTGGATGTATCGGTAACTATGTTAGCCTTGATTTCTGTACTTTGCTACATTTGCCATTTTTACCGAGCCATTGACTTTAAATTGTCAACAGAAAATGCAGAAAGCTGCATTTAAATTCATTGGGGAACATGACTTCAGGAATTTCTGTAAGATGGATGCAGCAAATGTGAGCAACTACAAGCGATACATTACAGATTTTAATATTTCTGCTTGTGACCAAAGGTTAAATTGCATTTCCCTTCTTTCTAGTTACAAACATGTGATTCATGTAATACCTGAACTAAATAATGGAAGTGCTCTGTATTTCAAGGTCCAACCATGATGAGCTGTGGTCCATGAATATCAGGGGTAGCGCCTTTCTGTGGCATCAAGTTCGTTGCATGGCAGCTGTTCTGTTTTTTGTAGGTCAAGGCCTTGAATCACCTTGTGTGAGTATTTTTTCCCTCTTTCTGAAGCTTCCTTTTATTTTTTCGAACAGTGAAGTGAATTACACAATTGAACTTGGCGCAGAAGTTCCTTTGTCTCATTTGTTTGGATTATTTACATTCAGTAGCTTGTTTATTTTGGTACAGGTAGTTGACTCATTGCTGGATATTACCAAGACTCCTAGAAAACCTCAATATACAATGGCACCAGAGCTTCCATTGATTCTACGATCTTGTCTATTCGATGGAGTCAGCTTCATGTGTTCATCAGGTATGTCTCTGAAAATTTGGCGTTTGACTCTATACCCTTCCAGGGAGTATTTTCAGCCTTGAAATATAGTTGTACTATTGATCTGCTAACATCATGTCTTCATTCCTTGCTCGGTGAACTCTGTGATTTTCCTGCTGCTTCCAGTATATGGATTATATTGTAAAAAATAGTGAGATTTTAGATCACAGTGAGCATTATATCATCCTTTTATGATTAATTATGCATGCATTCTTGAGAATTAAATAAGATTTAACAGCAGTGGGATAGCATTGCCTGACAGTAAATGAAATATACTCGTCTCATATAACTTATGACCATGACATGATATTTTCACAAAAATGGAACCTTCATTTCGGAAATACTTGGTGTCAGTTCTGTTATATTGAGTAAAGTGAAGACCGTCTAGGGATTTTATTATCTATCTGCAATAATTCTATTTTTTGTGTGACATAACTAATTCCAGTGCGCTTTATTCCTGTTTAGATGCCAATCAGGCTTTGATTGAACACTTGAAGGATGAACACCATCAGTATATGCTCCAAGCTGCCATATTTGATGAGGCTTTGACCTGTTTATCTATTCCAGGTACATACATTTAGATCTTTGTGTAACTTTACTGTAATATTTTTGTGATCTGAAAGGAGTTAGATGTAAATGCAGAGCCTAATCCACTTGAATACCCTAAGAAGAAGAGAAAACACATCCCTCTCCTGTCACGGGAAGCTGAACGTAAGTTTTTTATCGTGTGAATTTGCAAAACATCTTTCGTCTTTACATCTTTTATAAGCGGAACAATGCTGTCTTAACACCAGTCTCTGTCAGGAGTCAACACTCTTTAACTTTCTAACACTTTGCTATAACAGCTCCAATGATGTATGCATAATTATCCTCTTCAGCGTCAACGCTTGATAACCTCTTTATTTCGACGCATTTGATTCAACCCTCTTGTTTGTACTTTGCATGTGAAAATGCATTTGCTAATACTTTCACGTTCCAGCTTCTTACGAGGAACGCAGAGCAAGAGTAAAAGCTAAGTCAGCAAATGTGTAGTTGAGTGGCTACCTTAAGTAGCACACTAAGAGTTTGGCCTTCGAAGATCGGCGCGGCTGACTGGCTGAGTGTTATAATCAATCCAGCATCAAGGTAATTTTGCCTTCCTGTTCCAGTCAATTCGAGAAATACGCAAACAAATGCCTGCCTGCATGCTCACGTAATTCACTTAAATCCTTGTTCAGGGGCAATCTCCTCATCAGAACGTCTCTCCTTGAAGCTTGTGTTCTTACTGTGTGCACTTCTGGGACGGGCTAAAGTGTTACGTGGCGATGGGGAATCGACAAAAGAAGTTCATCGTTCAGATCTCCTTCAAGTTTTGTAGGTTCTTCACCACCCTTCACCATCTACCAGCCTTCTGACAGAACTTGATATGGATCATACATAGTACATACTATAATTTCTCAGGCGGCAATGCTTGGTCCCTTGGCATTGCTTTTGTACCAGCGGTTGGCTGCAAGATGGCGACCTTTTATTTTGCACTATGCAGCGCCAATTGTGTCATGTTCGTGCTCTTCCTTTTTTTTAGGCCTGAAACATGTAATGATTTCCTCCAAAAGATTCATAAATTCTGAAATGCTGTCTGGCTGTAACAATCAAATCGAATCTAGAACAGCAATGCACATGGTAAGAGAGTAGTAGTGCACCGTATCGAGCAGAGCCGGTAAAAGAAAATATGGCAGTGCTAGGTGCCGGCTGATCGGCGCAGGGACCAGATCGGTCGCCTCCATCATAATACAACTGGATTGCTGATAGCCGTTGAATCACCCTTCCGTGTCGTTCTCTTCTCGCATCTCATCCAGCCCCACGCCGAGTGGTATCAAAGCTTATAGCGCCCCCACGCCGAGTGGTATCAAAGCTTGTAGCGCCGTTGTTGCCCCTTCCCTTCTTGTCCTCATCGATGTGCACGTCGACTGGCTTGTACTATTGCCGTTCACGTGGATTGCTGGTTCCAGCAAATTGCCTTGCTGGTCGGAGCAGAACGTCTCCCCAGTCCCAGCATTGTGGATGTGGCGTGTATCATGGCGTGCATATGGTTCTTGGGTGGAACTAAGTACTATCTTCGTCTAGGTTTATCAGGCCCATTCATATTTTGCGTCAAACTTTGATCATCTATTTAATTAAAATATATAAAATATACATTGCAAAAAATATATTGTTGAATTTGCATTTGAAAGAGGTTTTCAATGTATAATACATAATGTACATTTTTCTAATTAAATACATATAATCAAATTTTAGTCCACAATAAGAGATGGCCTAAGAAACCTTGTTGGGTAGAAAAGAAAGAACCGCTGACGTAGGCCTTGTTTGGTTCAGCTTTTATCGACGGATTTCGCTGCCGCGTAGTAGAATCTGAATCAAAGGGCGAACCCAGCAGAATCCGATTCCAGAAATCCGCTGCCAAAATCTAAACCAAAAAAGGAAGCAATTCAGGACGTGCTTTCCAAAATCTAATTTCGCCGCGGGCCAAAATCTGAAAAAGCTGTATCAGCTGGTTTGCCAAATGACCTACATCCTTTTCACATTAGATTTTCCACAACTGCTTTTAGAAATCCACAGCCGAACCAAACAGGGCCGTAACCTACTCAACCCTATTTACTCTCAACAAAAAACACTCTACACAAGGCGGCAAACCTCTCACCTCTCGTAAGCACGGGCGCACAGCGATGGGGCGAAAGGGCAGACGGCCGCACTTCCCCGGTTAATCCGGCCTTGGCCTCGACCTCGATGGTGCAAGGGCGTCGACGGTAACGCCGGCCTCCTCCTCCTCCAGAGAATTCGTATCTCAGGATAGGTGAGCCACTGCCCGACCACGTCCATCACTCGAGATCTCTCGCACACCGAAAGGAAACCCTACCTTGTAGCTGTGGCGATGATGTTTCTGCGCCCACGAAGTCACTTCGGACTCGACGCCGAAAGCTCGATCGATCTGCTCCTCCCATTCCGTCCGACGTCCGCAGGCGAGTCAGGTTTCGGGAAGATAGTAGGGGCTGACTTAGTGGAGCCATCTGCCGCGCCGCCAAACTTGTTATGCTGCGGCTGATCGGCCAAAGGCGTCGGATCCATGGCTTGGGGTACGCGTGGGATGGGACGGTTAAGAACCCACGAACCTGATTTAAACTGAAACCGGTAGTAGATGTTACCCTCCCAAAATAGGCAGTGGCGTAGCCAGGTTGGAGGCAAGCCCCAGGCCAACATCATTGCTACAATAGTGACCAATATTCTCTCCGTCTGAAAAAGCTTGTCCCTCAAATGAATGTATCTAGCACAAAGTTAATGCTAGGGACAAGTTTTTCCAAACGAAGGGAGTATCAAGCAGTGATTATGTAGCTACAATCAACAAAGGGGCGAGCCGGCACGCCCCAGGCCATGGCCCTGGTAGCCCAGGGCCTGGCTACACCTCTGAAAATAGGTATTGACTTTGGTACATATCAGTGCTTATATTGGTGGCAGCACTACTAGCTTCATGCCTTAAGTCTGAATATGGTTGATTATTTGTGAACACACTGTTTTTTTTACTTTCAAATAATCCTGCTTTTCTTGAGTTTGCTTCATTTGTTTACGCGCAGTTGCCGATTTGGGGGATAATTTGTTGATCATGGTGCTGTTCGAGACCCCCTCTGGCTTTGCAACTTTCTATGCTGACGGGATCAGTCTCTACGAACCAGACGCCATGAAGGTGCGCGCTTTGTTCTTCCTTGCGTGACTTGCGTCACTAGCCTGTGCTTTGCTGATCTTGTTTTTTAACCTTGCTCTTGTTCTCATTGACCTACTTTTTTCTGGATCCTCACTCTCTCATGCAGAATTTATGGGGAAAAACTTCGTCACGGAAAATAGGGCAGACCATGTTAGTTCCACCTTCGTTTTTCCCTTTCTATTGTTGTAATTTCTTAATGTTGCTTAACACCAACTCAAAAGAACTTGCATCGTCGTGCATGATTGACATTTTTTGTTACTTGTTTGGCATTATAAGGAGAGCATTCTGAACACAGGCTCATTGCTTAATTAACATGCTCAAATGCATTAACCTTAAGAAATACTTTCTCCGTTTGGAATTACTTGTCTCGGAAATGGATATATCTAGAATTAAAATACGTCTAGATACATCCATTTCTGCGACAAGTAATTTCGAACGGAGGGAGTATGTCATGTGATGTTGGTACATGTATATTAACAAAGAACAACCGCCACAGGCTTATTTTCAGTGCTTGATTGAACCCATACATGGTATGGTACTACCACCAAAAAATACTGTCATGGTTCAACATGCATTTTATTACCTTAACACATGAATTTATTCTGAATCGGACTTTAAAATTCACACAAGGACATAAGTGTGGTCAAGTCGCATATGTGGGAAGATTCCATTTCTGCAACATAGGTCCCACATGTCACTGACTAGGAAAATGTGTTAGAACATTAGGGTTGGCGGTCTACCCCTTATTCCTCTGGCTTATCCGTGGTGCCTTTCACAATTCGCGTATCTGAGACTAGGGGGTAGGGACTTTCTTATATGTCTTTTCAAAGAGTCCACCTCTTATACAGATAAGATTCCTAATCGTTACAACTAGTTTCAGGATAGAGTCCAGATCAAATTACCAACCACGATCATATTTGTCTGTTAATGGATTCTACCCGTTATGTCCCCGGAGTATGCGCTTGTGAGCAACGCGCCATAATAGAGTGTAAATTCTTCTATATAGATCAACATTAGAGCTATAATCTAATTATACAATCTATCTCCTTCCAATCATCAGTGTACCTGGATAGTCTTTCCGATATAAATAGTGTATTGTATTCCACTGATAATCGACCAACTTCCTTAAGCATATACTCCATGTTAACATGTAAAGCAATTCCATGTATAAATACATGTATAAATTTCATAATGAGGTATTTCGAATATTTATAATTCCTAGTAATTTGAATATAGTAGGGTTTGCGGTCTTAATGTTCTAACAAAATGTTGCAAGATTTCCTTCCGCGTGGTGGCAAAGTTGATCGCCTAACCTCTGTATGTTTGGCTAAAAGCTTGGTCAATGGTGGCAACCTTAGTACACCAACCAAGCAGACCCATAAGTATCTGTACAATTGAGATGTAACTACTGATTCTACATGCATGATGTCTGAATCCTTGTTTCTTTAGCCTGTTTGATAACCTTGTCCATATTCATTATGTTATCAGATAATTTGGCGAAAAGACTTCCAAGTATTTACGGACAAGGCTGCTGCCATTAACCTCGATGATGGTATCGACAGTCAGCTTACTGACATGCTCTTGAAGTGGCACCAACCCGGGCAGAAATTGGCTGTTGGAAAGCCTGAATATAAAACGATCATTGAAGCAAGATTGGTAAGTGTAATAAGCTCCGTGTTTTTTCCCCATTGGCTCAACAATTTTGAGCACCATTTTTGTTGTGGCTTTTTTCAGGGAATACCCTGCCTGTTTGACGAACCTGTGCTGGACGGAGTAAATTGCAAAAAACCACCACAATTGGGGACCCTAATTCAGAAAACCACCATCTTTCGTTTTTTTTTCAAAAAACCGCCACGTTTGTGCTGACAGTTTTCAAATGACGCTGATTCGCTCGTTTGCCGCGTCTGAGTGCAAACCTGACCGGTTGGGCCCGCTGTCAGGGGCCACGTGGACAGGAGGCGATGATGCGCGTGACGGGCGCCGTTAGACGGCGTCGCACAAGACCTAGCGACCCGGTCCAGCCGCACCCAGTTCCCCCCCCCCTCTCTCTCTCGCTTAGGTCTC